TGCAACGTACTGACCCAGCCTAGATACTTCGTGGAAAAATTCAAGATAAAACGTCCTCAGTAGCGCGCCTAGCTCCCGCACTTACTAAAGCTCGGGTTCTCCCGCGTCGCAATACCCACTCGTTCTTGTGCAAACGCATTCGTTTGTGCATTAAAGAGACACCACAGCACGTCATGGTCGTTGTTTTTTTTTCCAAACGCTGGGTAACGTAGATCTAGGAAGTGAAGGGAGAAAGGAAGGGGAGTGGTGTGGTGCTGGTTTAGGTTACAGAGACTCGGGGTAAAGGGCTGGGATATTGACTAGTTCGATAATACAGTTATAAGGAACTGGAAAGAAGCTGAGATGTAGCTTTTGAGGGCAGAACTGGAAAGAGGATAAAAAAAGGGGAATGAAGGTACTACTTAGGAGCTCGAAGGCAAGAACTGGAGTCAAGGGTAAAGAACAAGAGGCAACACAACATCACAAAGGAAATTAAATTAATAAACAAAAGTAAATCTGAACCTATGCGAATGGAAACTGCCGTATAAAAACCCAACGTCATTAGAAGATTTTCCCTCCTTATAATGTTCAGGCTCAGATAACGGTGAGAACGAGTAAAACCTATTGAATTAACACATGCAAACTCCAACATCCTTCGGCAGTAAAAAAGAAATATTGAGTTTAAGCCAGTAAGCAAGTTGTTACAACCTTCACTCAACATCAAATTTCTTGCTCAGCATAATAAACCCACAAAGGAATCCTCCTTTAGAGTATCCCCACTCGAAGTGGTCAGATGCGCAACTGACATGTATCCAGGTGGTTTTTAAACGTTATCACGAGGCATCAGAATTGTCAGTAGCTTTACGTCATGAGGCAACCAAAATGTTTTTCACTGGAATCAGTTATTTATCAAAAAACAAGTGAATCAAAAAAAAAAACGTTGAATAGTCTCCCGTTGTGTATAAATCACATTAAACAAAACAAAGCTTGAGAATGCCCAGTTCTCAGAAGAACCCAATCTATACGGTAGCATGTCACCCCGACACAGAGTGAATCTACCGCTAATGGCCATGATGGGCGGCAGAATGTCTGGATAATGACTGCATAAATTAGGCTATTGCCGAACTTATTTTGACTGCCACAACGGTCATATGTTAAACC